GTGGCGAGAGGACATGGAATGTTTTATATGCATTGTGAAACATACTGCTCCTTATCTGGGCAAAGAGAGAGAGAGAAACTCCATATCCAATGCCTCTCCCCGATAGAGCTACCCAATACACACAGAGTTATCTTAGGTTTGGAAGAGAGCCCAGGATTCATCGAGTCCAACCCCCTGCTAAAAGCAGGACAAAATCACAAGTAAATAATCCCCTAAATACGCCCAGGGCTTTGCCAAGATGGGACTTAAAAACATCTAGGGAAGGAGATTCCACTTCCTCCCTAGGCAAGACATTCCAGTGCTTCACCACCCTTCTAGAGAAATAGTATTTCCTAATATCCAACCTAAACCTCCCCCACTGCAACTTGAGACCATTGCTTCTCATTTTGTCATCTATAACCACAGAAAACAGCCTTTTTCCATCCTCTTTGGAACCCCCTGCAGGTGTTTGGAAGTTGCTATCATTTTTCTCTTTTGTAGTTGAAACAAGACAAATCCCTCAATCTCTCCTCATAAGTCATATGTTCCAGCCCACTCATCATTTTTGTTGCCCTTCATTGGACTTTCTTCAATGTGTCCACATCCTTTCTGTTATTGGGAGGGGGGAAGAGGTGGGGACGGAGAGGCAGCATTAGATTCAGTGCTCCAGATGTGACCTCACCAGTGCAGAATAAAGGGGAATAATCATTTCCCAAGGTCTGTTGGCAATGCACCTCCTAATGCACCCTAATATGCTGTTAGCCTTCTTGGCTACAATGGCACACTGTTGACTCATATTCAGTTTCTCATCCACTGTAATCCCTGAGTCCTTCTCTGCTGAACTGCTGCTTAACCAGTTGATCCCCAGCCTGTAACAATGCTTGGGATTCTTCCATCCCAAGTCCAGGATTCTGAACTTGTCCTTGTTGAACCTCATCAAACATTTTTGGGCCAATCCTCCAAATGTTCTAGGTCACTCTGGACCTATCCGTGTCCTCCAGCATATCAACCTCTCCTAGCTCAGTGTCATCCACAAAGTTGCTGAAGGTGCAAGCCATCCCTTTATCCGGGTCATTAATAAAGATGTTGAACGAAACCAGAAACAGAACTGACTCTTGGAGTATTCCAATTGATACTGACTGCCAACCAGACATTGAGCCATTGATCATACTCATTGAGTCTGACAATCTAGCCGTATTTCTATCTACCTTATAGCCCATTTATCCAATCCATACTTCCTTAACTTGCTGGCAAGAATATTGTGGGAAATCATATAATAAGCTTTGCTAAACTCAAGGTATATAATTTCCACCACTTTCCCCGTATCCTCCGAGTCAGTTGCCTCATCAAAGAAGGCAATCAAGTTGGTCAGGTATGACTTGCCCTTGATGAATCCACATTGATTATTCCTTATCACATTCTTCTCTTCCTAGTGTTTCAAAAAGGATTCCTTCAGGACCCCCTCCATGATTTTTCCAGTGATTGAGGTGAGGCTGACCAGTCTCTAGTGCCCCAGATTCGCTTTCACTTTTTTGAAAGATGGTCACTACATTTGCCTTCTTTCAGTCATCCAGGACCTCCCCCCAATCACCATGAATTTTCAGAGATAGTGGCTCTGTAATCACATCAGCCAATTCCCTCAGCACCCTTAGATGTTTTAGATGTGGCCCCATGTCTTTGTGCATGTCTAGCTTTTCTTAATAGAGATTAACCTGTTCTTACTGAGGGCTCCCCACCTCTTACTGTGCTGCCCAGTGTTGCAGTCTAGAAGAGGCCCTTGACTGTAAAGACTGAGGCAAAAAAGCATTGAGTACTTCAGCTTTTCCTATATCATCTATCGCTAGGTTACCTCCCTCATCCAGTAAGGGCCCCACACCTTTCCCTGATGACCATCTTTTAGTTAAGATGACTGTAGAAACCTCTCTTGATACCTTTCACATCCATTGCTAGGTGAAATGCCAATTGCACTTAGGCCTTCCAGATTACACCCCTCCATGCTCAAGCAGTATATGTATACTCTTCCCTAGACATCTGTCCAAGTTTCCACTTCTTGTAAGCTTCCTTTTTGTGTTTAAACTCATCAAAAATTTCACTGTTAAACTAAGATGGCCACCTACCACATTTGCTTTTCTTACTTTTTGTACTACATGAGAAGTTTAGGCATAAATGTCTGAACATGCAGTGCTTCTATAATTATTATATCAAACCATGACTTTGATCTTCTGTGGCACCACATGGCCTCTAATATGTGACCATTCCCACACTTCAGCAAACCAAAGCTTCTGAAATGAATCCAGATAATCTCTGCAGTGTTATTTTAATTACTGTTTCCCTAGCCTTTCCTTTCATCTAAAAGTTGACTCTAATGAAACATGCCCTCACCTTATAAACATGACCAACATTATTTTTAAAATCAGTCTTACCAGTCAAACTGCTTTTTATGAACTCTCAGACTTCCTCATGATTATCAGTGTAGTACAAAACATTCTCTTGTATTTTGTCCAATGACCATCTGTAATTGGAGCAACTCTATTATACTATCCAACAGGCAGTCAATTTGTTTACACTATCTGTTCCAGTTCCTCCAGCATTGCTGGCAATCATGAGTAGGGATACGTAGCAGAGTTTTAAAAAACTCTCTTCAAATTTTTCCCTGGACTATATTGTAGTATCTTTCTCTAGTAGATCACCTGTTTTGTTTTTAAATAATCTTTAATATGCACATTCCTGTTAGTACTAGTACAAGGGTGATATTTAAATTTTCCAATTGCCTTTATATCTAATAATTCTGTAGCATTTGCGGTCTCTCCAAGTGTTCTCTGGAGAGCACCAGATAAAACTTGCTGTAGGGCATCCCATCCAAACAGAATGATTGTCCGATAGTGACAGATCACCCTCCCACTCACTCCACTCTGTATAAGTGATAGTTTAAAATTACTTTGGCCACTAGACAGAAGACTAATATTATGATGGCTAGCATTGTTTAGCATGAGAAATATGCAGGGATAGTTGGTTTGTTTGTTGAAGAGTACCCTAATGTGTTCTTTAGACCATAATGTTACAACTACTTCTCACTATGACATAAAGGGTATGTTTATGTTACAGAGTTTTGTCAGAAAAATGGCTGTTTTCCCAACAAAACTTGAGGAACATCCACAGTGCAATTGCATTCTTCCGCAAGAAAAATCGAAAGAACAGAGGGGGTTTTCTGGCATTGGTAATCCTCATTTTATGAGGAAGAAGCCTTTTTGCTTCTTTTGCTAAAAGGCGTGCGTGGACAGGGAAGAGGGATTTCATTCAGAAGAAGAGGAAACAGGAAAAAGCACAAGTGCCCTGGTGGCCATTCCCTCCATAGCAATCACAGCTTACATCCGAGAGAGTGTCCATTCAGTATGGACGCTATCTTTCAAAAAAGCAGATTGCTTTTTTGATGCACTTTTGCAGTGTGGACGCTCTCTTTTCGGAAGAAATTTTTTTAGAAGATCTCTTCCGAAAAAAGCTTCTTGCAAAAGAAGCCTGCAGTCCTGACATAGCCAGAGGGAAAATGTAGGAAACCTACTCTGAGTACCCCTATATGTATGGACACAAGGCTGTCTATCTTACTGTAAAGCTTCTCTAAAGACATCTGATATAAGTATATAAAACAAGTAGTCCTATATGAAGCTGACCCCAAGGCAGGTAGATGAAACAAAACTCAAGTCTTGATTTCAAAACCCACTAACTGAATAAATAGGTTGTGAGTGATGTACCTTTTTGGACTTATATTATAGCACCAGAAAATTTTCTTCTTGGAGGCTGTGGTATAATTCTCATGGCATTTTGAGATCTGTCTGCAGGTAGATCAGGTGGCTGCCTGCCTAAGTACTGGTTTCAATGCCAGCTTAAAAATTTGACATAGCAGATATCAACTGTGTGCAGAAATGTGGGTTTTGCACATGCCTTCACTTGGGTCTCACTTTCCACATGCACTTTAGACACCCACTTTCTAAATCTGGCACTGTATTTTCACCAGTGTCCATTTCAGGTGTGAAGGGAAGAAGAGTTTAGTAAATAAATAAATAAGCCACTTCATAGGCTGATGCTATTGGTAATGGCAAAACTCCCATGGCAAAAGCGGGATCAGGCTTCCAGTACTTTAACTATGTCTTTTCAGACTTGGAGAAATGTTCTTATTCTCACTGTAAGGGAGGTTTTTAGAACAAATAATATTCATAATCATAGCAGTAGAATCCCTGTTTCTGAAAGAGAGGAAGACAGATGGCAATAATGTGCTTGACAACCCACTAAGTGGGAATCCAGAATTTCCATGGTGAGCTGATATCCAAAAGTAAGCAATACTTGTGGCTGTATTACTAAACCTATGGACAGAAACATCCATATATTCAATCTTGTCTAAAATGAAGCGCCTATATCCAAATGTAGAGAACCTAATATGTGGCCTATTTTTTAGTTGTGTGTGCACTCATGTGAATGTTAGCAAATTATGATTTTGGTTTGTAGAGAGCTGAAACCCCTTAGTTGTAGTTGGATGTCTATGTAAATCCAGACCTCTAATGCCAGAGTCTTAAACTGCATGATCCCCAGTAAATGTTATTAAAACCATCAAAATGCATAAGAAATACTGTCCCCTCCAGCTTCCACCCTCCAACAGGGTGTAGGCATGCTCCCCTTGCCTTTAGGCATTTCTTCAAGTGGAAATTGATTATCCTGTTATCCCCACGTCCTTTTACATTTCTAAGGTTTGGCATCTGGCTGGTTTCCCTCACAATATCCCTCCCCTCCAATCTGCTGGTAAGTGTCTTCTGAGGACTAGGTGTTTCCTCGCCTTCCGTTCCCCATCTGCTACAGCTGCTACACTGTCAGTGTGGGGATGAAACATTATAGTGTTCTCTCTCTGTTTTCAAAGAAACAGACACTACAGCAGATACCATCAACAAAGGGGGCTAGATTATATAGCATGTCAACCATATTCCTGATCTTTGTTTTATTTTGGAAATTAAAATATCCCTATTTTTTTTCAGGGGCCTACGTACTTCAGGTCAAAGCTACAGATGCTGATGATCCAACATATGGAAACAGTGCCAGAGTAGTTTATAGCATTCTTCAGGGACAACCATATTTCTCCATTGATCCTAAAACAGGTAAATGTTTAATCAGAAAAACATTTTCATTGCCCTTCCAAACATTTAAACTTTGATTAAACAGCCAAGTGGGCAGCATTATTGGGGGCTATAGAAATAAATACCCAAAAGCCAATACATAGTAATACATCTGCTTTGTGCACAAACTGGGATGTCATACTTTGGAACATCTTAAATACATATGTGCTGAAAAAGTCTTTCATGATACACTATAACTTTCATGCTGTGCAGATTAATTCTGTCTTTAAATGCTGTTCAGTTTTCTTTTCTTTTCTTTTTCCTGGATGGTTTGGCTCAAAATCTGGAATCTTGATCCTTTCTAGTCAATTTCCGTTCTGCTTACTTAGAATAAAGAATTCTCTAGCAGTGACTCCTGCATTTCATGTTTTGAATTTGAGACAGTGGACGCCTGATTGGTCTTTATCCTCTTTTGTTAAGGAAAGGAGAAAAAGGAGGCTGCGATATTTTATCAGTTGTGTATTTTTAAATACCATTCCTGTTTCTATGTTTAATAAATCAGTCAATGAACTAAGAATATGCCACACACTAAATGCTACAAACTATATCTTGAATGTGAATTGGAATAATTGCCCATGTGCCCCTTGCATCAAATGGAATTTCTCCTCCCAATGAAGATGTACCTGAATGTCGGATTGCATGTTGAAGACTCGCTCACAGATTAATCAATATTTGGAGATGGGAGCCACACAACACTGTTAGTGCAGAATCTCCAAAGAGCATGTACATCTGTCACATGTTCCATTTATCAGTAGATCATATTGCAGGCTGGCTCAATGAATCTACTTTCAAAAACAAACTCTGACTTTGTCAGACACCTGGAAAAAATAACTTAACTTTGATGCTTATTTTTAGATTAAATCTTGTGAGGAAATGGAGAGAACTCTAAAAGTGAACTGAAATGCTTCAACCAGCCACAGACTGAATTTTGCTGTCTATTTCTCATGCAACACTTTATGATAGCTCTACCAGCATTCCCTGTACTGTTTTAGCTTTTGGAGGTATATGCACCCTTTTGCTACTTGGTATAGAATGGAGTAGATGAGCAAAGCTTGCACAAGAAGAGCCCATGCAGAGGGGAAACCCATGTATTACACATTCATCAACCCCGTCTGGACATTCTACTCAAATGAAACTTACATCAGAAATGAGCATATAGATTAATGCTACCCTCAGCTACATTAGCCTGCAATATCCAAGAGACTGTGCAATCCTCTACAGGGGGTACATTCATACCATGGTGTTGGCTGTGATGCCAGTATAGTCGGGGAGGCAAGCAGTGTTGGAAAAATCACCTAAAGAATGTTATTAGATACACCCACCCTAAAATCCAGGAAGCTTTGACTAAACACATATCTGAATCTTTAGGCAATGAACATTTGCCCTTATTTCATTCCCCTTTTGTATAATATAATCAAGGGGATGATACAGGAGTTTTTCAGTGGTCCTCTACAGGAAGTTGAGAATGTAAGTATTCCATATTTGCTATTTTTGCAATAGAAAGGGAAATAGAGCTCTTTGTGATGTCACTGCAGAAACACCTGTCAGAAGTTAGATTGCAGTGAATAATATTTATATTTTATGTTGTTATTTGCAAGTTTGAAGCCTCCTCATGTACTTTACTAAAGATCTTTATCCATAGTCTGCTCTTCGTTACACTTGTTAAAGTCCAAATGGATTCAGTGGGACTACTCACATTAGTATTAACTCATGAACTTGTTTGCAAGATCAGATACAGAGGCTCATATCCTCCAAGTTGTTCTATTGGGAAAGATGTCTGATTCTCCTTTAAGATCACGGGAGGTCAGTTCACATGCAGGGCCTGTCTACATACATATCATTAGAGGACTGTCAGTCTGTTGGTAACCTCAGGGACATTGAATACAGATCTTGGATATGAACTAGCATACAGTGTCACAATGGTTAATACTAAAAGATTTTAAATGGTAAAAGCTAGGAACATTCAGTGCATTACTGAATGCATGTAGAACTGTTCATGTACAATAAGCCATGACTTCAAAATTTTAATCCTCTTTATGAAGAAGAAGAAATGGTATGACTTGTATATTCTGCTTTCCTGGTAATCGATATTCCATATAATAATTTACTTTACTGAGACTTTTAAATGTGCGCTTTGAATCATCCATGTATACACATGCCTTTTTATAGAAAAGGTTTGTTTTCATTCTTAGGATTGTTTTTTTTTTTAAATATATAGTGCAAAGTGAAGGAAAAAATTCCCAATGGACTTTTTTTTACATAAAAGTATTCACATTGGTTTTTATTGGAGACAGATTTCTTCTGAGAAAAGCTACAAAATGTCTTCTAACTTTCAGACAGGAAAAGCAGTGAGTGATTAGGACTAGAGTTACTGCACTGTAATCTATTAGGAAGATTTTTAACAGATTTAAGGCTACCCAATGTTTTCTTTAAAATAATATAAAAATCAAGACTAAGAAGAACTCTTATTCATGAAATATTCCCTGCTTGCTTCACTGAAGGTCTAGACTACAGGGTTTTTACGAAAAAACTTCACCTGCACCTAGACTGCATCCACGTTCTTTCGAAAGTAAATTGAAAGAATGCGGCAGTTTTTTCTATCGCGGTAAACCTCATTTTATGAGGAATAACTCCTTTTTCAAAAGTACTCTTTCAAAAAAAGGTGCTATTGAATGCCAACTGTGCTTTTTCGAAAGAGAGCGTCTAGACTCTCTTTTGAAAAAGCGGCTCACTTTTTCGAAAAATCTGCTTGTAGTCTAGACACACTTTTTCGAAAGAGGCTTGTAGTCTAGACGTACCCTGAGTGCTAAACACCACCATTTTATTTATTTATTTATTTATTTATTTAACCTTTATTATTTTGCTCTCTTCTGTTAGTATAACAAGGGAAACAATTTCCATAGTTGTTTACTCCTTGGACTTGAGTATAACAAATACGTTGTAAAACATTTCAGGATGTAAAATCATGGAAAGGGAAGGAGGTTTCAATGGAAATTTGATAATGTTGTTCCAATTTTACCACTACCAAAAAATGCTTGAAAATACTTCTCTTTCCGTTTTCAGTCTGTAATTACTCCAGTTTTTAATGATGCGAGTAGGGTATTATTTTAGAATTTTACTCACTTTTAAAATATGTATTTTTATAATACTTGAGCTTTAAACTCGAGGACTACGTCTAGACTACATCCCTTTTTCGGAAAAGGGATGTAAATTAGACGTATCACAATTGCTAATGAGGGATAAGGGATTTCAAGAGGGATAAGGGATCTTTCAGAAAAGGCTTTATTTTTCGAAAGATCAGCGTCTAGACTGGCGCTTTTCTCCGACAAAGCTCCGTGCCGAAAATAAGTGGCAGCCATTTTTATGCTAATGAAGCGCGGGAGATTTAAATCCCCGCTTCATTAGCAATTGCGATACGTCTAATTTACATCCCTTTTCCGAAAAAGGGATGTAGTCTAGACGTAGCCTAGGAGTTCTACCTTGAAAGCAGATCCTATTGAATAGCACTGAGTCTTTCAAAAGAAAAGAATCGTACCCCTTGTTTCAAGACCGAGTAAACATGTGCTTTTTTTTTGGAATTTAGCTATTATTTAATGCCTTAACTGCTGTGCTAAAGAAGAGGGAGGAAGGAGTACAATAATTGTTATTATCAATGATACGAATGAAGGAAAACTTCATTTTTATACAATTCAATTTATTAGGAATTTTTGATCAGTTGAACAAGTGGTGTATCCAGTTGAAAGTTATTTTTAGAATCTTAATGAGCATTAGAAACTAATTGATTCCATTCTTACTGGTTGTCACACGTTAATTGCCAAAGAAATAACTACAATCCTAGGGGAGATTTTTATCTTATCACTCTGCGTACATTGTAACAAAAGGAAAAAAAGACTAATTTTTAAAACCAACAGGCCTAATCTTCAGAGATAATGATTTATAAGGTAATATCATTCCAACTGGATTGTTTCGCAGCTATACAGGCTGTCTGCATTTAAACTGCCTGCTTTGAACCATTTCTGAGAAATATTGTTTAATTATATTGCATTATATGGGGTTGACTTATGACAAGGTAAAATACCATTTCCTGTTAATTTGGTCACAGGATCCTACATTTTTAACATAAGAGAAAGAAAGCTATAGAAGTTGTAGTTAGATGACAACTGTTCAAAGTCACTCAAGATTAAAAGAATGGATTAATGACTAATTGTGTATGTGCAATTGACGGTAAAATATTTATCATATCTTCTTCAAAAAGTTCCTGATCATTTTTAGCAATCTCTGTTTCAGCGATCCCTTTTTGTAACCAAACAGCACATTTTGTACAGAAGGGATGTTGTCTTGATCAGTGGAAACTCACTACATTGGTGATGATTGTATATGCTTTGTTTCAAAGGCAGGAGAGACATGGGGCAGTCTGAGAATTAGTCATGTCTACTTCCCTCTTTCAAGTTTTTATTATTAATTATTATTATTATTATTGTTTTTGTCCATACTTCACCCCTACTCCCATTCCCCTGCTCTTTTATCTGCACTTTCTCTATCGTGAATTTGGAGACATTAGCTTTCTTCTCATTCACAGCCTAGTCAAAATACACTTGACAGTCTTAATCCATGATCCAAAATGTTTGTGTGTGTGTGCATGGGGGATGGGGTGGACAATCCCAGACATACTACTGTGTAATCAAGGTTTGACATCATTGTGAGTCTCTATGGGAGTTGCTGAGTACAAGTGCTTTTGAAAATCTGAGCACTTCATGTAGGTGTCTAAATAGGAAGTGCCAGTTAATGAACTCTTCAGAGACTCTGACCAACAGTATACATAGGAAAGAAAACAAACCTCTGATTTATGGCCATTGTGCATCTTTTCTTTTCTTTCCCCTCTAAGGTGTAATAAGAACAGCTTTGCCAAACATGGACAGAGAGGTCAAAGAACAATATCAAGTCCTCATCCAAGCCAAGGATATGGGAGGACAGCTGGGAGGATTAGCTGGAACTACCACTGTAAACATAACTCTCACCGATGTCAATGACAACCCACCCAGATTTCCCAAGAGTATGTTTCATTTTACATATACTAACTTCAAAATGATTGCAGTTTTATAATATCAGGGTGAAAGGCCCCCTTTAAGAATTTCTTGGGTTGAGGCCAGACAGAAGGAAACCCTAATGCATAATGGAAAAGTATGAGATTGATCTTTGCTAGGATAAGAACTGTTTTAAAGAATAAAAAGGTCCAATCTTCCAAAGTGCCAAAAATTCAATGGGAGATGAGGATATGCAACATATTGAACGATCAGCCCATAGCTGGTAGCAGCTATATTTTTTTTAATCACATCACTTTTGGGGATATATTTTATTAAGGGAAAGCTGATTTCACTCTTCAAATGACTCCTGATTATAAAACGTATTACACTTGAGGGTAGGTCACACTTCTCTGCCCGTTTTATTAAAGGAATACACAGATATTGCACAAAGAAACAAAGCAGCAGCAATATCTGGTAGAAGTACTAGGAGTCAGAATAATTGTTGTCATAAGCAGATACAACTCTGTTGTGCCCATCCAAGTTATGACTGTACTGGAAAATATTCACAGAATCGGAATATAGATCACATATCAAAGATGTTTATATAAATTAGTTTAAATCAGATTTTTCAGAAACGTGCTCATTTTAAAATGTTGTTTTATAGGGTGGTAATTTTCACTAGCACATGGCGATCACTTTAAAGACTGTTGGGGTTGTGAGTGTTCAGCAAGTGTGAAATTTGAGCCTTTGGTATTTATTCAAAACAATAAACATTGCAAACATGTAGCAATTGTGCACCTGGGTAGTCATGCCTTGGGAAATCCTACCCTTTGTTGTTAGCTAAGGCTATGTCTATACTGCTTCCTTATTACACAGAAGCCTATGCAAATGAAGCATGGATTAGCATATTGCCATGCTTTATTTTTATAATTAGGGGCCATTTTTGCACAAGCAGCTTTTGCGCAAAAAGGAGATGTGTAAACAGCTCCTTTTTGCACAAAAATCCCTCTTGCACAAGAGCTGTTTTTCCTGAAAAAATGAGGAAGAATGGCTCTTGCACAAGATCGGGGTTTTGCACAAAAAGGAGCTGTATACGGAGCTTCTTTTTGCGCAAAAGCCTCTTATGCAAAAAAAAAAAAAGCCCCTAATTATGGAAATGAAGCACAGCAATATGCTAATTTGTGCTTCATTTGCATCGGCTTTTGCACAAGAGGGAAGCAGTATAGACATAGCCTAACCATCAACAGGACAAACTTCTATTAGATTATAATATTTGAATGAACAATTTAGTGGTGGCACAGGAGTATTGTTTTTGCCATTATTTATGTGGCTGTCTTGTTTTGATTACATTCCTACATGGTAAGGGATACATAATAACCGTAATTACGTATATCTGGCTCTTTGGTGGCATAGGCTCCAGATCATACCTGTGCCTTCATTGTTTTCTCTTAAACATTTGTTTTTCCCACTTTGAGTAGTGAAATTCATTGCATTTCTGGAGAGATTCCAGAACCTCCACAAAATCAAACAGATTTCCGGTGCAGCAAGGTTCACAAAGCCCTTCCTCCAGCAGATTTTTAGCTGTTACCTTTGATTCTCTCTGCTACTATGGACTTTGGTTAGTCGCCAATATTACTTCATAATGTGACCATCTGATTTAATAGACTAAAGCTTTTCAAAGAGCAAAGGAGAAAAATTCAAACTCCACAGAGCTCTTCTAGTCTGAGAAAGTAATCAAAATGTCCCAGCCAAATACTAATCTGTTCCAGTTTGTAAGCATAAGGAGTCAATGCACTTAAGAGGTAGGGGCTATTAACATCTTTGTCCAGCTTCACACCCCACAACAGAGAGAGTAATCCTGGCAACAAACCTGTTGCCAACTGTGTCCACACATCTACCTAGGTATACCATCACAGGACCTAACCACATCACCTATAGCATCAAAAGTTCATTCAACTGCCCATATTCTAGAGTGATATATGCTAGCCCTGCCCCTCTTCCATGTACATTGGACAAACCAGACCATTTCTATGCAAAAGAATAAATTAACACAATTTTTTATGTTTGATTTGTAACATGCAAAAACCAGTTAGGGAACACTTTACCGTCTCTGGACACATGATTACTGACTCAAGTTGGTGTTAGGCAAAAAAACTTCAAAACCAGACTGCTGAGCTAGAGTTTACAAGTAAATTTGACAAATCAGAATGGGTCTGAATAGTGTTCTGGAATGGCTCTCTCATTACAATAAGTTATTTCCTCTCCAGATATTCTCACTTTCTCATCACTGTTAGGGTATGTCTACACTACCCCGCTAGTTCGAACTAGCGGGGTAGTGTAGACATACCCATAGTTAGGGTAAAGGAGAGTTAGTGGGTTACAGATTATTATAATGAGAAACAAAACCAAGTGTCTTTATGGAATCCATGACCCATAGGAACTCAGGCATCTCACAAAGTTACTTAGAACCATGCAATGAGGCATTTACTCTTGTCACCAAAGATGCTGCCCATCATACTATCCTGTAGAGTGAGAAAATATTCATTATGATAGAATAAGGCTTAGGCTTATTTTCTGAATTGAGTTAGGATTTTTTTTCTCCAGCAAAAGTTGGATGGCATGTATTGTGTGACATGGTCCTTGCCTGGGCCCCTTGCCCTAAGACCCTTTCTTCAGCTGCAAGTCATGAGGAAACCCTCTCTTGCACAATCACCCGTGTCTTTTTATTGCTTGTGCCAATTTCTCACCACTTTCTATTTACAGAGCTTGGTTTTAGCAGCAGCTAATTCACCTTCCCCACGACATACTCAGCTACTCTCCAGCTGTTCCCTCACTATTTCCCCTCTGGCTGCCTTATCTAGCCCTGTGGCTAATGAGGCCCACAGCTGCTTCCTTTAGCCCTTCAGGCCTGGGCTTGCCCAGCTGGCTGTAATTGGCCTTTTAAGCCAGGCTGTAGTGGCAGAGCTCTGGCTTAGCCAGCAGTCTGTCACAAACCTCCCCGCTTATGAATTGCCAGGTTCAGGCCTCCCCAGGCCCTCTCAAGGGCCCCTACCCTGATGCCTCAGTGCCTCCCACAGCTGAGTGCATAGGGCAGCCTGCCAGTCCATAAAGCTCTCTGCCTCTGGGGCTGGCTCGCCCTCTTTTTTCTTGGGGTCCTTGTGGACCCTAATCTGAGGTAGCACCATCCCTTCTGGTCCTTACTCAGGGGGTCCTTTCAGTGTGAATCTCTGATTGTACCCAAGCACTCCCTCAGGGCTTCTTTGGGAGGCTCCTTTGTTCCCTCCCTGCAAAAATTATATTGGTAGGAGCCTGATCAGTAAAATTCAGCCCTTGCCCACAGGTCTTCACATAAAACATGCCCCCATTGAGGCCCTTCCTCCAATACTGCTTCCACCTGCACTGGGGAGGGGGAGGGTGTCAGGGTTCCATACCCTACTTGTAGTACCATCTGTGCCTCAGTTTCCCTTGTCTCCCCAACCGGGGTTGATGTCTCCTTTCCTGAGGAGCAATCTAATTGTGTCTCCTCTCCTTGGAAGGGGCTAGGACTACCCATCATCCCCAGACATGCTTCCCACCTGTCTGTCTCCACGGGGTTAAGGCACTGCCCTGCTATGTACTCTAGTTCTCCTCACCCGTAGAACTGATGGCTACATATCTGTCTCCCTCTGGAGGACCTCTCACCTTTCCCTAAGACTCCTCTCTTTCTGTAGCAGGCCAGTCCCAGTCCCAACCTATCATCATCTGGTATGGTAGCTGGTCCACAACCCCCACCCGTTTCCTGTGGAATCTGCCCCTCACTTCCAGTGGCACCTGGGCTACTGGATAGGACCTCTTGTCCCCATGGACTCATTCTGGTGTCATCTGTGGTCCAGGGACTATCCAATGTGGCTGCACCAGCTCCTTCTGCACTAGCGAGTGGGCTGATGTGGAGTCCATTAACCCTCCCCAGGCCTTTCTCCACACCTGTATCAGGACAGTGAGCAGACTCTGCCTCTTGTCAGTCCTCCCTCATGAGTCAATCCACAGAACCCCACCTACCCACAGTCCATACTGTTCGGGTAGTCCTGATTCCTATGCCCTGCCCTCCCGCATTGCCAGCAAGTCATTGTGCCAGCCCTTCCAGGTGCTCCTCAGGGTGTCTCCTTCCTCTCTGGGACTTTTAAAGAAAAGGGTTGATCCAGGTTCCTCCCTGGTTCCTTGTCCCTGTAGGGTCGGCCTTCTCTCTGGGGAACCTCCGCCTTGCTATACTCCTCCGCCAGCCTGACCGTTGCATCCGTTGCAGACTGGTGGCGCCTGACCCAGCAGGGCTTGCAGCAACTGGTTGAGTACAAGTGAGTCCATTATTTCCCACACTGTCCATGTCTCTGGCCTCAGACAGCGGGTTGTCCAGTCTACTAAATTTTGAGCAAATGTCCAGGGCCTCACTACTGCTGTCGATCAAGCTGACCAAAACTTCCGCAGGCACTTTTCCATGGACAGACACACCCAGTACAAAATGGCCACTCTCACTGCCTCATAGTTGCAGGTTAGATTATCCCCCAGGGCCATGTAGGCTGCTTGACTCTCTTCAGCCAGGTAGGGAGACATACACAACCCGGGTCTCTCCCTGGGCTCTCCCATCTGACACGCACAGCTACCTGGTCAAATGTCCCCCCCAAAAACCATCCATGTCATCTGCTGGCCCCATTTTACAAAGTCCCAGGCCTGGTGGTTGCTGCTGCATCTTGTTCTACTTCTTAATAAACTTCTGCAGTCTTTGCTGCTGCTCTGCCTGCCAGGTTAGCAAGGCCTGGGTCTTCATCTGGCGGGACTGCTGGAAATTTTTCAGGGCCTATTGTACCTGTTTTTGCTGCTTGATGAGCCACTGCAGGCTCTCCTCCATCTCTGGGTTGCCAACCACATTCGCTGTCACTGGTGCTGGATCCCACCTCTGACACCATGTGTGTCACAGTCCTTGCCCTGGGACCCCCTCTTCAACCACAAATCACCTGGAAACCCTCTCTTGTGCAATCACCCATGCCTTTTTATT